AATCCATTGGCAAGCTGGAATTCTCCTATCAATTTATGGTTGTTATTTTTGCCATCATTATTAGTAGTAGTAGGCAGGAAATGTGTTTCTCATTATATGGAGCAAAATTCTTGCCAAAAAATTAGTTCTTATTACAATACTGGCAAAAAAATCATGAGAACCCTAGAAATGGCACTTCATTATTGTTTTCAGTCATTCCTTTGGTTAGCCCTGCCCAGCAATACATTTTAAACACATTTCAGCCTGAAATGTTTAAAATAAAGAAATACAGTCCAACTTTGGCATTTCAGTTATCGTGAAAATAAGTGAATCAATCATTCATCGTACCGAACAACGAGATGGGTAAGGTCATGATCATGATGTGCATCTAGAGGGGTTTTGTGTGTATCACATTGTTGTTTCACAAAGACGTCTGTCCGTGGGGAACCTCGCAGCTCTACGGAAGTGCATGCTTCTTGAACTAGGAGGGCAAAGGAGACCGATGGTAGAGCCCTCCCCAAGGATGGCAGCGGCATGAGGAAGTTTGACAAACACTGAGGTAGGCTCTGAAAGAAATGACACATTTCCTTTCTAAGTACCTTTTGGAAAAATACCAGGCTATTGTTTTTAAAATAACTTAAAAATAGAGCTTGGCAAAGATGGACATGTTTCTAAGGTTTTGATTTTAAGGAAAGACTTTCTTTCCAGATTGACATGATCTTGGAATATCAAAGAAAAGCCTTCTGCTAGAAAAATGGGTAGACTGAGTAGCAAGAAGAACATAAAATGAGTTTCGGTGAGTGGGTGTAACGTTGTCAGAATATTAAAGGAGCGGTTAATCTGTTTTTATCTCAGTTCAGAGAGTGGCTTAGACATTCATCTAGGCAGAAAATATTGTGGTTTTGTAAAAATAAAACCATCTGATCTGGACACTTTGGCGATCACATGGTGTGTTAATAGCATCTAGAGTTTTTAATAGTTTGCTCTTCTAAAATATTACTAAACAGTATTATTGTGAATAGTAGATTTTGTTTCCAGTTTACTGAATAGTAACATTTTTTTGGACTGTGGAATTTCTTGATTTTTTTAAATAGTACAACTTAAGCCTGTTTTTACAACCATTTTTTAAACCAATGAGACATATTCTGAATGCAGTACAAAAGAAATTTCTGTATTACTTAGTAGAAATTATACAACTCTGTTTAATACAATCCCAATAGATAATTTGTCTTGCCCATTTCCTGGTGTGTCAGCTGGGTGCTGACCAAATGGTAGTACTGATGTCTTTCCTCCAAAGGAAATAATTCCGTGTTTCAGTAGGTAGGTCCCGTTTTGACCTTGGACTAGTTTATGTATGATTCTGAAGCTGCGAAGTTAAAATGTGACTTTTCCAGCTTGGATGACTGGGCGAAAGAGACACCTTTAAGGTTTCCCACTTACAGTGGACTTCTCTGCCATCTGAAATAGCTCTTCTCTGAAGAGGACACAGGGTAGAGCATGTACCACTGAACCCTCTGTTGAGTTACCTACCTGACCCACAACTTTTGAGATTGATTTGGGAGGTTTTAGAATATGACAGCATTCTGGTCTTTAAAAGATGGAACAGATACAGCAGGTTTAGCAGGTTTAAGCCCTTTGAGATATTGTGTGAATGAAGGCTCTGCATGATGCTTTGATCTTCACGTGCTTTGGCGTTTGCTATACTGTCTTTGCAAGTGCAGTAGAATCCTTGAGCCGATTTAATGCTTAGAGGAGAGTTGGCCCTTAATTCATTGTAACTCCTTCTGTTTCATCCCCTATGTTGAACATAAGGAATGAAATGTATCTGTAAACATTCTGTATTAAGTAACATAAAATATAGTCAACAAAATGTAATGCTGTATTAGTAGTTCAGACCTAAGGATCATCATTGTAGTTTCTATTGATTATTTTAGGTGAGGGAGGTCATGCGGAGATGGTACCCAACCTGCAGTATGCTGCCCAGATGAACTACTGTCTGGAGAGAAAGGTCCTTGGCAGGGTGGGTCCTGAAGGCCTAGGGCGTACCCTGAGCTTGGCATATCTGGGGAACAGGAGGATGATGGCTTGCTGGGATGCAGGGTCTGGGTCTTGGAATCAGTTGAACCCCTGATTTGAGATAATCACTGGTGGGCTTTGAGCACAGAGGCAGTGGGATCATGGCTTCTTGGAAGGTGTAGCTAGTAGGAGACATGCCTGAAGTAGACCAGAGGGAAGAGCCACCAGGTGACCTGAGAGGAGGCTGGACTGTGGCATGAGTGAGGAGGGCTGGACTATGGTAGGCATGCTGAGAACAGAGACAAGGGCCAGTGTCCTGGGTAGGAATTGCTGCTTACTTCTTAAAAAACAAGCAAAACCCTGCAACACCATTTAGGCATGAGCCTAAAGAAATGAACGGTGTTTTAATCAAATGTCTCATCAATGTTCATATTTTCAATTGTTTCATAATAATATACATATATTCACAGTTTGATTGAATCAGGATCTAAGTAAGTCTCCACACTGCGATTGCTTGATGTGCCTGTTAAACCTCTTTAGTTGTAGGCTGGTTTTCCATCTCTGTTTTTCACCCTTGCAAATTGTATATAGAAGAAACTGGGTCATTTGTCTGTAGAGTTTCCTGCCATCTTGATTTTTGCTGAATGCACCCTCGTGGGGGCATTTGTTGGGTTCTCTGCATTTCCTGTAAATTGGTAGTTGGATCTAGAGGTTTGATTAGATTGTGCGATTTTAAAATAAAACTGGAATTGTACTGCATTTTGTACTTAACAGTATATCATGAACATTTTCCCTTGCCATTAAGTATTTTTCATAACTTGATTTAAATGGTTTCAAACAAGAAAGATCTGTACCGTGAAAAAGTCTTCACCTCTGAGGTTTGTGGAAGAAGAAAGCTAAATAATCATGAATAGTAACCAAGAACCCACAAGTAGTAACAGAGCGGTTTAAATGTTAACCTCAAAGAGTGCTAAATTTTGATTTATGATGTCACATTCCAAACTGTAAAAATTGTGGGTCTGCTCATACATGCATTAGTCTGACCTCCCTCTTTCTTCCCTTTTAATTTTGGACGTGAACGTGGACTTCCTAGACCTTCTGTCACAGTATAGGTACTCACGAAGAAGTCTGCCTGATTGTCTTGCCTTGTGAACCTTGTCACATAGGAGTTTGTTTAATGATGCTTCAATAAGAGACTGCATCCGGGAGTCTTCCCGGTGTGCTGTGCAGACACTGTGGATTGGCACCTGCTTGATTGCAAATGACGGAAATACCTCGAGCTTGCCTCTTAGAACCCAAGTCTAGGGAAGTAGCTTGGCCTTGAGAGCAGCTGGCACGAGGACCCTCCACCTGAGCTCTCCAGCTCCCCTGTTTATCTCCACAAGTTGGCTTCATTCTCCACCCCCCCTTTTTTAATGGAGGTACTGGGGATTGAACCCAGGACCCTGTGCATGCTAAGCAGACACTCTACCCCTGAGCTATACCCTCCCCACTCTTTCCCTTTTTTTGATATACAAGATTCTCCAGTCCAAATGGAAAAACATGTGACCAAGAGCAGTCGTTTCAACTGCCGGACACACACTGATCTATTTGTCTCTCTCTTGGTTTCCGACTTGCCTGGTTTCTGACTTCTGGTCTGGCCAGTTGTGATCGGGCTGAGATGTAGAGGAAAAGTCCCGGGTGATTCAGCTTGGCGGAGGTTCCGCCGTGACCCGTGCGCAGCGGCCGGAAGGCGGGCGTGTTGCACAGACGGCTGATCTCACGCACGTGAAACAGCGTCATGCCTGCTGCGCTGCTCGGTCGTCTTGCTTATTTGCACGCGTGAAGGTCAACGTCTGGTCTTTATTTGCTTTTACCATTTCCAGTAATCTGTAAGATCTTAAGTAGAGCCGGGCAAGTTCTGACAGATGTGAACACCCATATCACCAACTCCCCAGAGCCTTACCACCTCCCTAGAAAGTTCCCTCATAGCCCTTTGCATTCTCTCCTCACCCCCAGAAGCAACCAGTATCGCAATTTTTATCCTCATAGACCAGCCTTACTTGCCCTGAACTTCAGATGAAATGGAAACATACAGCGTCAACATTTCGCCTTACAGTAGCTTAGTTCAAGGTTGTAAACGTTAATTCAGCGCGGGCTGTGTGCCCGAATCTGTGTTGCTGCTAGGAATGCAGGCGTGATCGCCACAGAGCTGACGGTAAGGGACAGTGAGAGAGTTAGGAGTCGCTGCCAGGGCGGAGCAGGGCTGTGCCTGCCGAGGCCTGTGCGCTAAGGGTTCTGAGGAGGAAGAGGCCCGGGGCACCGGGGAGGTTCATGAGTGGATACTCCTTACTGTGCTTCCAGGGCGACGAGCCAAAACATTGAACTTTGGCTCTTTTGGTCATGTGTCATTTTCCTGCCTGTGTGCAGGATTTCCTCATCTCCCCGTGTGGGTACTGATGAAAGGTGGGGCCCGGAGACTGGTGTGGGGACCATTTCCTCCCAGGGCGGGGGGACTGGGGGTTACTGGTGAAGTGGCTGTGGCGTGGGGACGTCTCCCCCAGTTCCCCAGAAACGTGTTCTTTCCCTTATGTCTGCTGCTCTCTTCATCTGGCCCAAACAGTCAAGTGACCAAGTGCAGTTTGTCTTTGCCAAGAGAAGCAGGTCTGTTTTCTTTGTACATCATCACATAATGAGCAGTTTCCATATTATTAAAATTATTTGAAATCTGGATGCCTGTCTGCTGTGTAACTTGCCATATATGGTCATACGGAAGGTAACTGTAAATCTTTTGTGCGTGTGTACGTGTACACAGTGTATATGTATACATATATACCAATAGGCTGCACATATACTAGTGTAATGTACCATATACTCTGTGTGTGCATTTGTGTACTTGGTCCCGTTGATTAACTTTATAAGGTCAGTTGGGCTATAGTAATGACACTAAAATAAATGTTTTCCGGGAGCAGAAAAGAAGATAAAATTACTGAAGACTACTGTTTTTTCTCTTCTTTTTTCCTCAGAACCATCCGAGTATGGCTGAAAAGAGACAGTGGGCAGTACTGGCCCAGTATTTACCACACGATGGCCTGTGAGTAGCCGGACTGTTCCCTCGGAGAAAAACATCTCTGACGTCTGTGGTGATTTCAAAACGGCAAATTAGAAAGTGCTGTTCGATTTTCTTGATGGGCCTCTCAGTTGCCTAATGCCTCTGAAAGTCCGTGTTAAACTGAAGAATTCCTTTTCTCTTGCAAAGGAGGCTGGGCTGATTGGCTTAACTGAAGCTGACTTGAGGAAAACTGGGGGAGAAAAAAGAAGAAAAACCCCTCATTCCCCTCCCCCCCATTTTCCTTTGTCTTAATTTTGCCAACTTACGTTAGTGGTGACGTTGTACTTGGTAATAGCTGATAATGACGCTAAAACAGGGCTCTGAACACTCCCCCGCCTTCACAATCGGTCTTTTGTCCAACTTCTGCACAAACTCTGAATGCTACTGAGAGATCTGGTCCAAGGTAGCAACACATTCTAAATGGAAAATTTTCTCAGTAGTCAAATATATTCTAAAAATAAACCCAGAAGATAAAGCTTTTGCATTGAGATGTAGTGACATAAAATTACATTTAAATTCTACCCTTCCTGCAAATCTAAGCAGCATTGCATCCTCCTCTCCCACTCCTCTTCTTCACCCTTTCTTGAAAAAAAATGCCCAGGTACCACCCAGGCCCACGCCGGGACTGTCCTGCCACCCCCAGGGGCTGCACGAAAGGCATCTTAGCTGCTGATTTTCTCGTGGTTTTGGTCCTGAGTGAGGGATTGTCCTCAGTTAAGGTTTCAATATTCAGAGGACCCCCTGGAAGAGAAGGACTCTGGGGCATGCTTGGTGGTTTGTTTTAACGTTCTCCAAAGAATAGGACTTGTCAGTTGTTCCAGATGGAGGGTTATTCCAGGGCTGTGGGGTTTGTCACAAACACGGAGCAGCTAGTTTTTCAGCAGATTCCATACAATCAGCTTGAGTCATCTTCTCAGCATGTCCCTTCTTGGCTAGCACTTTCTCATTTGCACGTTTATTCCAGGGTACACGCAGGGTTTAGATCCTATAAGCATTTTCACAAAGAATTATTAGTTGATCAGGATTTTCATTTGTTCTACCTTCCCCTGACGGCTTGGGCAGGCTGGTCAGCTTCTCCGTCTTGATAACCATGCAATGAAAATGAAATACACTTTTTGGAATGCAGGTATAAAGATAACTATTATAAAAGAAACCATAAAACTTTACAATATGTAGCGTGTTAAAAGACTATCTGAAACCCTTATCATAATTTATTGTGCCAAGCCGTAGTACTTCCTGTTACCCGTGTCCGGGTGTGTTTGTGGGTACTCTGATACACGAAGTGGCCGACGTCTTAGTCAATGTGCTTATAGAGCTCTTCTGATAAATTTACTTTGGAATTTTTTTGAAGCCGGGCAGAGGAAGGTGGGACACCCTGTGCCTCTGAGCCCACCCTTTACCCCCCGCCCCAAAAAAAAGACTTCTCTAAGACGGATGACTCCTTCCTTCCAGTGGCCCAGGGATAGCGCGGAAAGCTGGGAAAACGGCAGCCTGAGGCGCTGGTCCCGGCCTGCGGAATGCTTGTCTTCTCTGTGGACAGTCTTGCTAATGCTCCTGCAGTTACTCCTCTCTCCTCTCCATCCCCCACACTTCATATTTTGGCCACAGCTTCATCTCCTTGAGCCCTTAACCTTGGAGTTCATGCTCTTTAGGATAGAGAGAAGCCAAGATGGATTTCTGCCTCCTACTTAGTTCAGTTACTCCTCAGCTTATGTTTCCCCCAGATGTCTGGTACCTTTGTCATTGATTTCTCCCCCAGGGCACCAGGACCTGGCAGGAGCAGTGCGCGCTTGCTGGCTTTCAGGCCTGGCCACGTGGCTTTGCTCTCTCTCTTGCCATCCTTTACCGCCTTGGCCTAATTGTATCCTCCGAAGTAGCTCCCAGAATGCCGTGACTGGAAAGACGAGTGAAAATTAGAAAAAACGGTCACAGCATCTCCGTGGTGGGGGATGACACCCTCATGTCTGTATGTGCACGTGCACAGCGGGCTGCCTCCAGATGCTGCTTTATTGCCTCCAGCTGGAGTAATGTCTCCTGGTAAAACGGCAGGACCACTGCCAGGAGAAAACAATGAATGAATTATGAGAAATAACTGCTTATCTGTTTTAGGGTGACTTTTACTTTAAAATTAAATTCAAAATATGAGAAGAAAAGTGCCATGTTGGATTTAAAAACCACCTGCAGATTACCCCGGTGAGGACATTTCCGTGGTCATCCACCAAATGAAACTCTTGCCTGTGGCCTAACAGAGGTGATCAGTAAGCAAAACCTTAGAATGTTGCTGTATTCACACCAATCATGTTACACAGCGTTCCCTCACGGAACAAAAATAACTCAACATCTGCTTTAGCTGAAGAAAAATGGAACTGTTAGTTTCTGTATCTCCTATGTGCTTCATGCTTTTTTTTTTTTTTGGTGGTATTATTCTATGAAATCATTACACCACTATACAAGGGATGGTATTTTCAGCATTTAGTAGACAAGGAAACTGGGGCCAAAGGTTGGAATTCCAGTTCATGCCCATCTGACTCCAAAACTGCTCCTCACCGCAGTGTGGGGCAGGCCCACAAGCTTTTTCTACAAAGGGCCAGACATAAATATTAGACTGTGCTAATAATATACTCACCTCTGCCTTTGCGGTAGGAGAGCAGCCATAGGGAACACATAAATGAAAGAGCCTGGCTGTGTCCCCAAGATCTCTTTGTTTATTAAGCTAGTGTTTTAAGCATATGATTTTGGACTGCAGTGGTGCCTTTTTAAAAGGCACCACTGATTTGAAAAATGATTTGTGTTTTGCTTATTTAAAAAGCTATGCAAATATTCACATTAAAAAAATTGTATTGCTGATCTCACTAGAAGGTCCCCTTCTAGGAAAAAAGCCAGGACATTTTTAGACACAAAGCAAGAAAACTAGGGAGCCTTTTTTGTTTCTTTTTTAAAAGTGATAATTCTCTAACTTTATAGGATTACTCAGCACATTGTAATTTTTACACAAAGGAGAGATTTTTACATACTTGTGTAAAGTATGCTATAGGACTGGGCATAAGAAGAATTGAAAAGAAGCTTAAAGCTAAAGCATTAAGATTTAGTACCAGCTGCAAAGCAAGCAAAGTGATAACAGTGGATCTTTAAAATCATCAAAGAGATTTGATTTGGTGAAGATAATTTTATGCATGGTTATTAAAGAGCACTTTGTGTGCAGATACATGTATCTCTGTGGTTATAATTCCTAAACATGATCTTCCTTTATAATTTCAAACATCAATGTGATGGATGAGGGTGTACAGACGTGTAGTCAGTTCTAATTGTTTTGTGTACAGACAGTTTTGTTATCTACCGTTGAACTAGGTAGTTCTTTGAATGCAGCTGAAATAGCCCTTTTCTATAGTCTGATAATGCAGCTAACTATGCTTTTGCCTTTGGGTACAATCTAGTATTGTAGTTTATTTTCTTCCTTTGGTGAAGACTATCACTGTCGTAGAGAACTTTAAACTATTTTCAAATGGTAACTTCATTTATAAGATTTTTTTCTTCTACTTTTTTGTAAGAAGTTTTATTTCAGAGTAAACTCAGGTTTTTTTTTCCCTCCTGGCATGCACTTCTTTCCTTGGTCAATTAAATTTCTTAAGGCTGAAGTGAATCCAAACATTTCTTTTTCGAAATATTCTATTTTCTAAATCACTTTAATTCTGATTTCTAGCAGAAGGAGATGATTTAGAGTCTCTCCTTTCTGAAGCTCGTTCTCTGGCCCATGCTTTCTGGAAGAATAGGTAGATCCTGGAGGTGTGTGCAGGAGAAGAGGCAGGGGCCGTCCCAGTCAGATGACACCGCTGTGGACGAAGAACCACGTCTACCCCACACGACGCCGGTTCCCACAAGCTGGGGTCGTATGCGTGTGTCATTGCAAAGCAGAACATTATTTGACCATGGGAAAAAAAACAATTAATCCTGAAGTGTCTTTCCCAGCTTGCTCACTTGCCGTGGAAAGGGAATTGTGATGCTAGGAACCCCTCTTTCCTCTGATGCCATCTGCTGTTTTACCTGTGATGCAGGAGGGGGCAGGGCAGGATGACCTACCGAGTTTGGGGAGCACAGCTCCCTCTGTGAGCACCGGTCCTCAGACCTTTCCAGAAGCAGGTAGGAGCTTCCGTCAGATGAAACTAATGCTGGCTTGCTTCACTCAAAGTTATCAAAATAATTTGCAAGATTGTTAAAGTTAAAATTTTAAACTAAAATAACAAGAACTTTAATAACATTTTTTAAAAATTAAATGTTTTTGCCTTCTTTTTCTAAATCTAGGTCGTATAGCTCTCTTTAGTAATGTCCTTTGCACGATGGCTCAGTGACATGTTTAGCTTGGCTTGTAATGTGGTCTCTGTCTTTCTGGCAGCTCCTTGCTCCGCTATGACTTACCATCATGATAGCAGACGGATATTCGTGGGCCAGGATAACGGAGCCGTGATGGTAGGTAGCTTCCGGAATGTATTCTTTACAGTGACCTCCCCTGTTCACTCCTGTTGGACATTTTAAATAAAGTTGTTCATGAGTGCCTGATTGTTTGGTATTAGAAAATGTTTAATTCAGTACAGGTTTTAGGCCCTGAAAAATGGATCAGTTTTAGTTAGGGTCTAATTTTAAACTACAGATCTTCCCCGACTTATAATGGGATTACCTCCTGATAAACCAACCCAATGTAAATTGAAAGTGCATTTAACACACCTAACCTACTGAACCTCATAGCTTAGCCTTGCCAGCCTTATGTGTGCTCAGATCACTTACATTAGCCTGCAGTTGGGCAAAATCACCTAACACAAAGCCTATTCTATAATGAAGTGTTGAATATCTCATGTAATTGATGGAGCCCTGCACTGAAAGTGAAGAACAGAATGACCGTGTGGCCCAGGGTGGTTGTAAGTGTGTGGTCGCAGGGCTGAGTGGGAGCCGCGGCTGCCACGTCCCAGCTTCACGAGGGAGGACTGTACTGCACATCGCTTGCCTGGGAGAAGATCAGCACTCAAAATTCGAAGTACAGTTTCTGTTGAATGTGTGTCACTTTCCCGCCATCGTAAAACTGAAGAATTGGAAGATGAGCCATCATAAGTCTGGGGCTGTCTGTAGTTCCGTGGGGCTCTCAGTGCTGTCATGATTGCTGGTTTGGTGCTCAGGCTCGCCCACAAAGCAGTCTTTATACAGGGGACATGAGCCCTGTAGCAGCCACCATCCCTGACCTGGGAAGGAGGAGGGGACGTGTGAGTGAGACAGGAGGCGGAGGGAGAACAAGGTTAGGGACCAGTCATTCAGCCAACAACTCATAGAACTCTTTGAGGCAGTGCTCCTCAAACCATCTCAAACCGTATATGGTGAAGGAACAGGTATTTAAGTTTTCAGTTTATTATGGATTGGTGTTTTTGTAGATCTAATTGTGTCTTTGTATAATATACATATATTTAACTGAGATGTAATCCATATACCATAAAATTCATCATTTTAAAGTATGCAGTTCAGTGGCTTTATAGTATAGTTATAAGATTGTGCAACTATTCATACTCCAATTCCAGGATATTCTTATCAGCCTCCTTCCCCCGCCCCCCCAGAAAAAGAAATTCCGTATCCATTAGTAGTCACTGCGTTCCCGCTTCCTCCAGCTCCCGGCAATCATTAATCTGCTTTCAGAGTCCAGAGATTTGCCTATTCTAAACATTTTATGTAACTAGAACCATATGTGTGGCCTTTTATATCTGGCTTTTTTCACTTAGCGTACTATTTTCAAGTTTCATCTGCGTTGTAGCTTGAATTGATAATTTATTTCTTTTTGTGGTGGAATAACACTCCATTATAGAGATATTCCACACTTTGTTTATCTGTTCATTAGTTAATAGATACTTGGGTTGTTCCTACTTTTTGGCTACTATGAATAATGTCACTGTGAACAGTTGCGTAAAAGTTTGTGAGCCTAAGTTTTCGATTCTGTTGGGTGTGCATACCTAGGAATGAAATTACTGGGTCACGTGGTAATTCCGTATTTAACTTTTTGCACAACTGCCAGGTGGTTTTTCCAAAGTTGCTGTACCATTTTACATTCCTACCAGTGATGTTTAAGAGTTCTAATTTTTCTACGTCATTACCAACACATTTTATTTTCTGGTTTTGTCCTGCTTTATTTTTATCATGGACATCCTAGTGGGTGTGAAGTGGTATCTCACTGTGGTGTTGGTTTGCATTTCCCAAATGACTAGCTCTGTTGAGCATCTTCTCATGTTGGTCATTTGTATATCTTCTCTGGAGAAATATCTGTTCAAGTTCTTTGACCGTTTTTAATTGTTCTTTTGTATTATTATTGTTGAGTTGCGAGAGACTCGGACTTTCAGCTTGGAAGAATTCACCGGTGAGACCATCTGGTCCTTTCTGGGCTTTTTGTCCTGGGAGGTTTTTTGAGTGCTGATTTAATCTATTTACTTGTTACAAATTTTCTGTTTCTTCTTTGGCCACTGTCTGTTGTTTGTGTCTTTTTTGGGAGTTTGTCTGTTTCATCTAGCTTGTCTTATTGCCATGTAATTGTTCACAGCAGCCTGTTATGAGCCCTTTTATTTCCATAAGGTTAATAGTAATGTCCCCCTTTTCAATCCTGGATTATAGTAGTTTGAGTCTTTTTATTCTTCATCACTCTAGCTAAATTTTGGTCAATTTTGTTGATTTTTTTCGAAGAACCAGTTTTCATTTCATTGATTTTCTCGGTTTTTTCTATTCTCTGATAATTTATTTCAACTCTGTATTATTTTTTTTCCTTCAATTTTGCTTTGAATTTAGTTTGTTGGATTGATATTTTGGATATTGTTGAGTGAGAAAATTCACTGGTTTTATCTGCTTGGATTTCATAACAATATTAAATTGCTGTAAAGTTTTCTGAGCACTCATTCCCTGTTTCTCTACTTCTTTCATCAGGACCCGTGGTCCGTAGACTGCACTTTGAGTCGCACTGTTTTACAGACCTGGGAATCGAAACAATGAGTAAGATGTAGCTAGTGGGGTTCCATGATGTGGTGAGTGAGTACAGCCGTAGAGTGCACACAGAGCTATGAGAACACAGACCTGGTGGCCGCAGTGGCCTGGAGAGAGGCAAGGCCGGCCTGTGCATGTGCCAGGTCCCAGACGATGGCTGGGAGGTGCTGGTGCTGTGGAGAAGTGAGCTGGGTGAGAGGGAAGCCAGAGAGGTCTGTGGCCCTGCCCCTGGTAAACAGGATTGTCAGGAGGGCTGCCCCAAGGATGTGGCATTCAGCTGAGGCCTGAACGGTGGGCAGGAGGCAGCCGGGCAGAGTCAGAGTAAGTGTTCCAGAAGTGAATGTACCCGTGAGGATTCCAGGTGGGAAAGTCTCTGTGTCTGAGGACTCGGAGGACGTCATCTTGGCCGGATGGAGCTAAGAGACAGGGCAGGACTGAGGGCGGATGGGACAAGCGGGCTGAGGCCATGTCACGGGGGCCGTGCAGGTCTGGGTGAAGTTTTAAGTTTCGTTGTAAATGCTGTGGGAAGGTCTCGTGGGGTTTCCACAGAAGAGTGGCAGGATTTAATTCACATGTTTAAAAGATCGCTCTGGCCGCTCGGTGGAGAGTGGGTTGAGGGCCAGAAGAGTGGAGGTGGGGACATCAGGTGTGTAGCCGTCCAGGTGAGGGCGTGGCCATGATGATGGACAGAAGCAGATGACTTGAGATACATCTGTGACAGGCTGGGTGTGGGGAGGGGAGGACGAGGAGCGAGTCAGGTGACAGCCATGTTTCTGGCTTCAATAACTGGGGGAGAGTGGTATCATTTATTGAAAAGAGAAGGGCTTAGGGGTATGTGGGGAGAGGGGGCATTTGGAGGGAAAGAGGACAACAAGGAACCAGCTGAGATACCAGTGAGGCGTCTGGTGGCGATGTGACGTTGGCATTGGATTTGCAGGCCCGGAGCCCTGTGGGAGCCTGGACTGGGGAGTCATCTGCACACAGGGCGTCTTTAAGCCCTTGTAAGGATAGCTGTGATCATGTGGGGAGAGAATGAGACAAGACAGGGCCCAGGCCTGAGTCCTGAATGGCTCGGATGATAGTGGGGTTAATGGGGAAGCCAGCAGGGGAGAAGGGGAAGTGGAAGTGGTGATCCTTGAGTGTGTATTCCGGGGCCCAGGCTACACTGTATGAGCTGAGTTGCCCAAACTTGTAGAGTCAGGCATATGGATCATCTAGGGAACTTACTGAAATAGCTGTTCCCTGGCTCCAGGCCAGACCCGCAGCTTCAGAATCACCAGGGAGGGGCCTGGGAATCTCTGCTTCAGCAAGTCCTTGCAGTGATCCTTAGGGTCAAGTGCATTAGGGGGTCACTGCACGATGGGGAGCCCTTAAAGAGCATTAAGCAGGGGGAGGATGGAATGAATGGTCAGGTGTCTGTCCTGTTAGCTTCGTGTGCTGACACGTGGGAGGTCGGCTTGTAGGGGGCAAGGCTGAAAGTGGTGATGCCACTTAGGAGGCTGATGAGGACCCCAGTGCGAGACTGTGACACACTGGGGTGGTGATGAGGTGATGGCTCAAGGACTGTCTGGGCAGTAGGACTTGATGTCTAATTAGATGTAGCTGTTTAATAGAGAGCAGTGCTAATGAGGTGGCCTCCCGATTTCTAGCCAGGATGGTGGTGAGTGGTTAGCTGCTCCCTGAGACAGAAAAGACGCTGAATTTGAGGGGAGAGGTACGCGTCCAACTTTGACAGCTGGGCTCATGGGCCTGAACCTCAGGGGCTTGGTTTGGGCTGGGGTGGGGAGTCCTCCAGACTTCAGACTCAGTGGAGACGACTGCTCTTACTGGGGACAGAGGTAGCAGGTAGGGTGAGAAGAGCAGAGGGCCCAGGTCACATTCCCTGGGGAATATCAACATGTAAGAGAAAGTCAGGGGCCTGGGAACCCACAGGGGAGACAGAGAAAGAATGGACAAAGTGAGAGGAGGCCCAGCCAGGCCTTTCAGGTGAGGCAGAGAGAGGATGAGATCAGGACTGGAGCGCGACCTCGGGGATGGCAGTTAGACAGCAGCTGGCGGTTGCAGGGAGAGCTTCCCCTGAGGGGTGGCGGTGGTGCCCTGGGGCGCAGTAGATTGAAGGGTGACTGGGGTGAGGAGCCAGAGAGCCCGAGTGGGCGAGCGTGTGCTGATCTGTACAGAAGGGGGCAGGGAAAGTTGTAGTATTGTTAAGGGAATTTTGTCGTCTTCTGCTTGTTTGTTTTGCTTTTTAAATTAAAGGAGAAGCCTTGACTGTGTTTAAGAGCCAAGAAGGAAAGAGCTAGGAGCAAAGACAGGCTCTCTCTGCTTAAGCAGTTCACTCTGCTGTGGGCAGGTGGCGAGGGCTGGGGGCTGCGGGGTTGGGGCTTGAGGCTGCTGTAAATACATTATTTAGTATTAAATGCCAGCGTTCTCGTGTTTCTCTTTCTGAAGATTTTATAAGACTATTATGGTAATGTGCATCTGCATATATAGCAAGAAGCCATGAGTGCAAGTCTCAGACAGCTTCTCAGTGGTGAGAGTGTTCATACACTTACTTCTCTAGGGACCCTTCTTGTGGCTCCTGGTTCAGGGGTACTCTCTGCAGTTACAGGATGGTGTATAAAAACGCTTATAGCTCTTCAGTGTAAATCCAATTTATCACTAGTTAGCATTGATCTATTGATTCTTTCCCCCAACATAGATTAGTATATGTGAAATACTCTAATACATTGTTATACTTTGTAAAACCAAGATGGGAAATAAGAAATCAGTATTCCTTTGTGGTTTTTTTTTCATTCTAATCAATCAATAATTCATAATGTTTGTATTATCTAGACTCTTAACTTACGAATTTAGCATTGATTAGTAGAATTTTTGATTAATGCTTTTTCTTTAGAGTTTTATCTTTTCAGTTTTATGTTGAAGCTCATTTTTTCATTAAGAAGTATGTGCTTTTAATTTTTTCCTAAAGTGTTACATAGGCTATACAAATTTTGGAAAATACAGGAGTATAAAAAAAGAAAACCACCCAAAATCTCTAAATTTCCTTTTTACTGTGTGTTTCTATATTAAATATGTATAGTTTTACCCTTCCATTGCTTCAGATACCCAATGTCTTCTTTTCACTGGCGCAGAGAACTATGTTAGTAATGGTTTTGCTGTTTTGCTTGCTATGTATCATCTTGAGGATATGTTAGTGACGCCAAGAGAGCAAAATTAACAGGATGATGCCTTTGCAGTTGGAGAAGAAGGACAGAGCTCTCTTTTGCAGGGGAAAGGTTGGACAAAAACGCTGTGCTGGTCAGCAACATTTCTTTATTTGTCTGGTTCCAAAAGAAATGGGATGAAATAAAAGGACAGGACCGATGAAAGAAGCCATTCCCAGTTGTTCTTACGTAGCTCATCTTGAGTCTCAAGGCTCGTAGTAGCCATTTTTGGGTTTTACTTCCTTTTGAAAGTTGAGTTCTTCTTGTTTTTAAAACCGTAACTGCTTTCTTATTGCATGTGTTTACTTTTAGGAATTTCACGTTTCTGAAGATTTTAATAAAATGAACTTTATCAAGACCTATCCAGGTAATCATAATACATACATATACGCTTGCACACACATACGCAGATACACACACACACAAAACTGGGACACTGTGTCTTATGATCAAAATTAGGTTTCCACATTAACTTTTTAAAAGTATTGTTACCTCAGTTATCTGAGAGACTATTGGCTCTTCAGAATTATTTACCATCCTTTTTCCACTTACTAACATTTAAAGTTTTCTATACTGTTCCATTGGTTGCATGTATGAGTTAATTTAACCATCCTTCTGTTTTTGAAAATGTGTACTGCTTCCTTTTTGGTAACACATACTAATGTATACGATAGTGTATGTTATATGTATGTGTGCATATTTATCTGTGAGTGTGGGTTATTTCAGTTATACATGTATATGCATATACATATGTATGTGTGTCCTTGATGGTTATTCTGACTCCAGTCCTGTAACCCTGATTACTTCTATTTAAGAAAGATTCCTAAAAGTAGGATAATTGGGTCAAGCTTAAAAACTTTTTTTAATACTTTATTTCACAAAAGTCTTTCCAGCAATAGTAAATTTTTTACAATTCCATGAGTGGTGATTGTGAGTGCCTGCTCATTAAATCTTACTCTTTATAAAATTTTTTTTGCCAATTTGATAGTCAAAATCGTTCTCAATTTTGAAATTATTTAGGCTTTGTTTAAAATGTTGGCCGTTTGCCATGTTTTATGAATTTTGCCCATGTTCCCAGGGGGTTGCAGTGTTTTCTGATTAATTTACAGGACAGAGTCCGTCTATTCCAAAGCAGCCAGTACAGCTGGGAGCAAGGTCCGAGGTGTCTCTGTCTAGCCTCTGACTTCATTCATCAGACTGGGCATTTATTAAACACCTGCTGCATGCAAGGTCCTGGACCAGATAAGGTAGATAGGTCACTGTCCTGGTGTGGCTTATAAATGACCTGGAAATATTCCAGAAGTTAGGTAGTAGAAGCCTTCCTCATTTTCAGCTATTATTTTGGAATACAGAACTTCACAAATGCTTTGTCTTATAAATAATAAAAAGTTACACACAAATTATTCTAGGAACAAAATGCTTACATTATTTTTTAATTTCAAAAAATCTCAGCTGCTCTTTTTACAATGCCAGTGATTTCTGAAGGGTCAAAACACTAAAGATATAAACAAAAAAAAACACCTCTTTTAAGAAAAACTGCTGCTTTCCTTGTGGAACTCACTGATAGTTGTGTGTGTGTGTTTTTCATCCGTTCTTCGGTGTGTTGTTTGAATCCCTCCAGAGCCTTACTCTTTAATGATTTGCAGCTTTTGATTGTCTTCCCTGTAGTGGGGCAGAGGGCGGGCCCCGGAGAGCCTGAGGTCGCCGGTTGGGGTAGGAGAGGTTCTCTGAAGCTTTTGCAGAGTGCAGGCATTTTCGGGGCAGGACTGTTGAGACAGTGAGTCTGCAAGTCGACCAGGTGGAGAAGGGCAGCCTCAGTTCTCCCTCACGGAGGCTGGGTTCTGAAGGTCACATTTCTTCCTGAAGGGCGCAGACTTCCCCTTTCTGTTCCCGCAGCGCATCAGAACCGGGTGTCCGCGATCATCTTCAGCCTGGCCTCGGAGTGGGTGATCAGCACCGGCCACGACAAGTGCATCAGCTGGATGTGCACCCGCAGCGGGAACATGCTGGGCAGGCACTTCTTCTCTTCCTGGGCATCGTGTTTACAGTATCCTTCCCCCGGCGGGACCGGCTCCTGCCTCGCACCTGTGTCTCAGTGGGCGGTTGAGAATCTGATCACAAATTGCTAACGGAGATCCAAAGACTCAGTGATTTCTACATATTTCACATCATAAAATCGAAGAATTTCTCTCTCTGCTTTTCTTTAGTATAAAATTGTTTTATTAAAAAAAAATAACTAATTGAATTGCCTTTCTCTGGTGGGAGGTGCTGTATGTGTTTTAACACAATCTTGAAAAGCCTAAACTTCACTAATGCGAACTCCTCCCTTCACTCTTTGGATTTTCAGAGTGAAAGAAAAGACTTTGTGTTGTACAAAGAAAGGGGGGAAAAAAGAATGGATCTTCTAGTATTAGATTATTTGCAGACCCTGCAAGAAAATGTACTAACGGTCTGTGATCCTGGAGTTCATACATGCACTACAAGGAATTTTATAGTTTTTTGGTGTGTGTTTGGAGAGAGTTCATAATCCTTAGAATGCTCCCAGGGGTGCCTCAGGATCACCCAAATGTTCAGAAATTGCTGCTCTAAATTTTTTCTATGAAATTTGTTTCACGTAGCGCTTGCTCTTGCTTAAGGCTGCCGTGGGAGCTGTGTATCTCAGTGACCGGGCGCTCAGGGCCGTCCTCGACAGGCAATTACCCCACGGTCATTTCTCTTTCAGACTTGGACGTCTGGTGAAGTAGAATTCCCTTCTTCCATTGAAAGCCTTCATAAAAAATGTTTGCCACAAATGCGTGCACAGCATGAGACGTTTAACACGCGCGGTACACTTTAGAATCAAACAAGGGAAACATTCTCAGATGTGTCATGTGCTGAATAATTAGATGTGTCACGTGCTAAATCAGTTTTTCTGTTACGTGGTGGGCCTTCACACGCCTTGATAGAAAATGTCCCAGAATCACAAAGTCATGGCCCAGCCTGCCGTCCTCATTGTGACCTGTGTTTTGGAATTAAAATAGTAGTTATCCTCTTGTGTATGAACTGCTGATCTGCCACTGACTTCTATGGCCACAAAGTGACCGAGAAAGTAATGAGTTGTTACCAATACTTTATATATTTTTTAAATTTTAAATTTACTACCACCCCAGATAACTGCCTCTCGGATGATTAAAGTTAAGCTCTCCACAGCAATTTAAAGTAAACCATCCTCTTCACTTAAAGCTCAATCATCTGGGCCCAGAAGAAAGATGGGTTCATGTCTGTATTTAATTTCTAGAGCTATTTCATGAATAGCCATTTTCTCCCAGTTCTTTCTTGCTGTTTTCATTGTTAAGTATTGTACTTTTTAACATTTTATGATAATTGGATTAACCTACTTGCTCTTAGGTCTGTCTTCTCTATCAGCTCTTATCTTTTTTATTGCCAATTCCTACGATGTTGGTTGGAATGGTAGCAAGTACTCAGTGAATTCTCGTTGAATGAATATTAATTTTGCTGATTATTCTAGCTTAAAACATTTTTTCCTTCAATATTTACATGTGTGATTTTCAGTCGGGTCTTTCTTTTCTCATAGTTTTAGATTTTGTGCTTATTCTCTTTAAAATGTGCATTTTCTGTTTTATAACTTTGAGATGGGTTGTGTTGTATATCCTTGACTGCTTCTCCACAGATACGATTTTGATACTCAGTATGCTTTTGTTGGAGATTATTCTGGACAGATCACCCTGCTGAAGCTTGAACAGAGCACCTGTTCAGTTATTACAGCCCTTAAAGGACATGAAGGTAGGCTGTAGAGTCACCCCCGGTTTTCACTTAATTGGGGCTCTTGAATTTAGTTCTCAGCTCTGTGGCTTCACGAATGATCAGCTCCTTATGATCTGTGAGATTTCATTTTGATTGTCCAGATATGGGATTTCAATCTCAAAAAGATCTTGAAGAGTGAGGACTAAGTGAAGACAAGGGGTTGGGTTGGGTTTCGTTTTGTCAAAATCCCTTCCAGATTGCTTGTGTGGATAATACTTTCTGTTTTGTCTACCTTTTTCAATCAAATTATTTTCAGAAGACCTTTTAAAATTTCTTATAAATGGTAAGACTTTTGGAAGACTGTTATTGCTGTTTTAAATTTGTCACTTTCTAGGGCACTGAGCAAGACCTGGTAGGTCAGTACAATTAGAAGAAATGTGTAGCCTGGTTCTCTCTACTTGGAAAATATCCCCTGCGGAGGGACTGAAGGGAAAGAATGACTGGGTGGAATTCTGTTATTCCTGTAGTTTGGTGATTTGGCAAAGCTTTGTGGAAAGGTTTTAAAACTCAATCAGCTGGGCAGTGGGGAGGGATAAACTAGGAGTTTGGGATTAACAGATACATACTATATATAAATACAAATAATATAAATATACACACACACTATATGTATAAAATAGAGAAACAATGAGGAAATACTGTATAGCCCAGGGAACTATACTCAATTTCTTGTAATAACCTATAATGGAAAAGAATCTGAAAAAGAATGTATATGTGTAACTGAGTCACTTTGTTGTACACCTGAAACATTGTAAATCAATTATACCTCAATACAAAAAATAAAAAATAAGCTCAATATATCAAGTCAAAAAAACTCAATTGACAATATTGAGTAAGAAATTAGAAGCTGTGAGGCCATCTGGTTCAGACTGAAGAACTGGGGTTTTGCTGAAGGAATTCATGTTGGACTTGTTTATGAAGATAGTGTTTTAAGTATGGCGAATTAAATGTCCTCCATAGCTAACCTAGTTTAGTTAAGACGAGTCTAACAGATCAGGGACCTTGCAGAGGAGAAGGGAGCCGAGGACAGTGAGGTTGAATAGTCTGAGCAGGAAAGCTCCGTCCCTGCAGAAGCCACTTTTTGTTTGTGACTCATGGTCTCGTGACCCCCGGTCTCTTAAATGTCCTCTGCGTTGCTGAGGGCCGAATGGATTCTGATAATTACTGAGCAGTGTTCACAGAGAAGGCGCTTGCTTGTATCCTTTTAGGCCTCCAGCTGTAGCTCATGGGGCACAGGGTCACCCAGGGTCAGCATTTCTGCAGAATTGATCCCCGAAGCTGGTTTCTGCACAATACTTCTCTTTTCACTTTTGTTGAGGTCTGTGAGAAGCTAGTCTCATAGTTTTGACTATGGCTTTCTCAATTTTATATATACTCCCCCAAAATATTATTAGCTTGTGTGGCTGGTTGAGTTTAATTAAGTTTATTAATAATATTTTTCTGGGTAAGCAGTAATCAATGGAACAATGAAGAGATCTGTTGAAACAAATCTGTAGAAAGAAAGAGTTTTTTCCAACGGTATCAAATTTGGTAAGTTTAGCCAGTATAGAAGTGTGAAATGTAGGGTTTGGATTTTTTACCTAAATTCTCCGGCATAATTGTGTGGATTGCTTGTCACTGTGGAAACAGTGAAAAGGATACTACAGATCTTTTTTTTTTCTTTCTGAGACACGTAATTTAATTTTCTTAAGCGTAGGCATTCTGGACTAAAACACCTGCAAGGTCCCAGAGACCCAGACTACTCTAGATTTTTATCTTATATAAGATAACCGTGGAAAACTTTACTGCCTTTTCTCATGAAATATTAGTAGCTATTTTTTTTCTCTTCAAAAGCTTTTTCTTAACTAACCCTCATATACAGCTGCCTTATCATTTTTTGATGTAGACAAGGAAAAGCTTTAAACACCTTTGAGTTCAAAGTAGCCTGATGGACAATTGAAAATCCTAATCTTGCAGCTCGGGATGATGGATGCTCTGTGTCTTCTCTGTGACCCACGATAAAGCCCCTTTGTACAGAGAAGATATGTTTTACTTAAAGACTCAGCTGGTCCTAGATCGGTCTTCTGCTGTCAGATGTGTATGTCCTAACGTAGATTCATGTTTCCCCTCCCTCTCTCGCCCCTAGGTGGTGTCGCCTGCCTCTGGTGGGAGCCTGTTCAACGGTTACTCTTCTCAGGAGCCTCTGACAACAGCATCATCGTGTGGGACATTGGAGGGAGGAAAGGCCGCACGCTCTTGCTCCAGGGCCATCAGTGCGTGGCTGTCTGTGGGAGGGGGGAGGAATCTGAGCCGGGGCGAGCTGCGGGAGGCGTTAGTGTTCTGAGACCACGTTCTCCAAACCCAATCTTTTAAGATGGCCATTTGGCAGGGCTCACTGGGTCTGCTTCCAACTGCTTTTCTGTTCGTCCTGAGCGTCTGGTGTTTTGTAGCAAAAACAGGCCAGGGTTTTCTTCCTTCTTGGTCCAAAGAGCACTTCCCATCTTTCTCTCCCAAGGAGTCACCCACATTGAAACGTCTGCTGGAGGCAGACGTGGATTAGATACCATGGGTGAGGACTCAGACCACGAAGGATTGCGTGCAGTGTGCTATTAAGCCATTCCCGAACTGGTTGCCTTACTCATTTTTTTTTTTTTAATTCTAAAGGGTACTTCATTAAGAAGTAAGGTTTGATTTGACACAGTTGCATTCACCTAAGCTATGACACTAATACTCAGGCTTTTGCTGGCTAGTCTTGAAAGGAAAAGGAACCCTTTCCCCCTTGTTTCTGGTTAGGCTGTCACTGTTAACTGAGCAGAATCAAGCTGAAAAGTAGCTAAGGAAAGGGAAGGTTCTCCGCACAAGCCTGTGTGTCTGGAGATGGTTTCCTAGGGCGTCCAGAGGGGGCAGATTCTTCACCCCGTCAGTGTGTGTCTGCATGTGTGACTGCACGTGTGTGCGTGCCCACCAGTATCTCCCTGTGTTCGATTACGTGTTCTTACGGACTATGTTCCAGTAAGGGACTTACACACCCTTTAAGATTTACCTACTTGTTCAGAAACATTCTTGTGCACCTGAAAAGGAATCATGGTGACTGGTCCAGAAAACCATAGTCATCACCTCACCTCTGACCTGCAGCTCTTAATGATTGGAAAATAGTAGTGTTTATTTCATAGAAACTATTTTTCTGTGTAGTAAGTTACAGGATACCAATGAAAGTTTATATTGGGGTGCAGATTACCATACCAAACAGTCAGGGATAAAATGCCAGTTGCTGATTCCAGCGAGGGGAGAGACTGGAGCCTGCATGGGGATGGTTTCTGCGTTTCCCACACTGAGACACGTGACTGTGTGTGTGCTGTTTGCAGTGACCGGGTGCAGTCGCTGTGTTACCTTCAGCTCACGAGGCAGCTGGTCTCCTGCTCTTCAGATGGCGGGATTGCAGTGTGGAACATGGACGTCAGCAGAGAGGAGGTGAGAGGGCCAGGCAGGGCTGATGGGGAGAGGTCCCCAAACCCGCTTCTCGCTTTTCCACCTGCTGGCTGGAGTTGCCGACCGAGGTGAGGTGGTCCCGGGACCTCATGCTCGTGCTTGTTGATTTTGGTCCGATGAGGTTTTTCCTGTGTGTCACTTTGCCCTGCATTCTCTACTCGTTGGAGAGTTTCCGCAGCGGCAGGCAGTCCACACAGCCTGGCATGTGAAACAAGTCAGATGGATGAAATCTTGACTGCGTGTCTACTGGTTAATTTCTCTTTTTGGTTTTTCTAAAAATCTATTGGTAAGCCTTAGAGTAACTCATTAACTAAATGTATGTAACATTGGCTCAGCATCACAGAATGTGTCATATTTTCTTTGCAAAGGTTTATTTGAATTATGCATTATCTTTGTCAACCACTAGTTACATGCCACAGTGACAGCTAGAGAACTGTTCTGTTTCCTGGACTCTCGGCCTGTTGTTTTTCAATCTTATTCTGAGAAAGCAAAAGACTCAGAGAGAGGATGTGTTCCCTGGATCGTGACGGGGGAGGAAGCCCCTGGGGCCCGATGCTGCTAGTGGCTCTTGTAAGGGTTTAACCGTAGTCATTCAATCCACTAGTCTCATCCTCTGTAAGTTCTTTCCGAAGAAGAAGAAACTAGGAGCAGCGTCCTTTCCTTCCAGGTTATGTGAGTGTGGAACTTGTTTGTCCCTCTCGGGAAAGAAAAGACAGTCCTGTCACTCAAGGTGCTTCCTGTGTTCAGGGCGACTCTTTTCCGTTGAGTCATTTACGCAAGGTTACCCCACATCATGTGCAAACTGGCTGGGAACACATTTTGCTCTACCAGCTTCTGTCTCAGTTGGTGGTGTTGGTGGGAAAGAAAATTATCTCAGAAACATACAATATTTTTGTAGGCTTTTTAAAATTTTTTTAAACCAGCTGAGTTAATGTTAGTGCGAGAGCAAGTGGCCTGTGATCTGTTAGATTCTCAAGCTAGGGCTTTGTGCAGTTTGTACGATTTCCTTAGGGATGGGGGTAGCAGATTAATCCTAGACTTTCTAGCCCCACAGGGCTGGCCTGGAATTTCTTTCTAACTCACTGGAAACACCGAGGGGAGCGTTCCTGCCCCACAGAAGCCGTCGGCCACCACTGGCAGGTTGGAAGCAAATCTGCCTCCTTGTCAGATCGTAATTAGGGGACTCCTTTGGGGAAGCAGGCACGAAACATAAATGAGCAAGTAACGGTAATTAGGATGAATCCTCTTGAAATAAGAACTTCATTTTAAGCTAGTAGATCACAGAACATATACTATTTTATACATTAGTGCAAAGGAGACCCACGCACCAGTCGGTAGCAGCAGTGCAGTGGGGCTATTCTTGTTACATCATCTTTGTCCAGTTAGGCCGATGGAGCAAGATGTGGAAAAGAGAATGAAACAGTCAGAATACGTAATTAATGTTCTCTTTTGCTCTTATCAGCACAAAAGAAAGCTTTTTCTCCTTAGAGGATCAACGTTTAAGAGGATGGTTCATGATGGCTTACGCATAACACTTAATCCTATTAAGAGAAACAAAGTTGTGGGTGTTTCTTATATTGAAATGTGCTCCAAAAAGTCTGTACTTCTGAGTTTGTTGTTTAGTTTGTTATCTCAAAATATTTGAAGCCTGTTTTTCTTCCCTTGCTCCCCTCTGTCCCCCAACTCAGCCAAGCGACAGTTTCCTAGCCCCTAGACAGAACTGTGCTCCCTGAGGGCAGGAACTCAGTCTCTTGGTTATGAAACTCCAGAGATGTGTTTGGAGACCCTCACATGTTGAGATGAACAGGACCACTCACAGAGGCTGGATAGAGCAGAGTGGACATGCCCAGGGATGGGCTGGACTCCTGGATCTCCTGGGGTCTCCAGCCACTAACTGACCACAGACAGTGGCTTCAGTCTCTGAGCCCCGGTTTCTTTGCCTGTAAGTGGGGGAGAAAGTTACTGTGTCTCCTAGGTGTTGTAGAAAATTAAGCAAAATGAGGCATATAGCACAGTTGGCACACTGCTGGACACCTGTGACACTCGCTGGACCAGGCAGGACGCAGAATGCTTCCCAGATAAACTCATTTAGTCCCCACGACCTCACGAGGCGTAGACTCATACTCCAACATCGCTGCCGTGAAAGCATTTCTGCACTGGTTTTGTTCCATGTGACTGTCCCGCATTTGTCGCAAACATAGGACTCGGTGGTGGTACCTGCTTTTCTTCCCCCTGCAATTCAGTGTCCCCATGTTGTTGGCAGCAGGGCGTGCCCTGTCGCTGCATCCCCCATTCTCCTGCAGGGACGTTCACAGGCAGTGTTCTTAACCACCTTCTCTCTTCATTGCGTCAGTTGTTTAAAGAAACCTCTCTTGTGTCTCGGCCCACTCAGTCTGTTTGTGAGTGCGTAACCCCCTGCCCCCAACAGAAAGACCTTTGTGGCGGCTGTCACATGTAGAAATATTTCTAGTGCCATGTCTAAAGTAAGGAGTAGGAAAGCCAAAAGTTTTGCTGCAAGAGGAAACGAAAGAAGTAAGGGCACTTGTTTAGACCGCCCGGAGTCCCTTTCGAGTTACCGTGCAGCTGTCCATCTTCACTGCGTATTTTACGAGTCAGTACAGTATGGTTTCTCTGATTCTCTCATCCTTGCCTCCTCTTTTCAGATAGATTTTTCTTGAGCGTTAACTTTCCAGATCAAGAAAAGATTATTTCTTACTGCATAAGCTTTGGTTTAGTTTCATGAAAATTAGTATTTTCTAGTATTTTTATTGCACACATGTGATAAGTGATTGAGGTTAAATAGATTTTTAACGAGTTCATTTTGTAATCGAGTACAACTTACAATGTTTTATTTAGAAATAACATTTTCTAAGTTCTCAGTTATTTCAAGACTTTCACTTCCCTGTTTCAACATAAATTCGCTGAGAACCTACCCCTGTGATAGGCTGAATATATATAAAGATGAAAAGACCAACGAATAACTCCTAGGTTAGTGGTGGGGGAAGAGATGTGCGTAAAGAAGTACAGTGCAGAGACATCACTGCTAGAGTCGGGGTCTGCAGGCTGGCGTGCGGGCACAGGGGTCCACTCATGAGGGCTGAATGAGGGTGGGGGTGGCAGATCTGTCTGACGTGATGCCCACCCAGAAGAACTCTTGTGAGCCCACAAACTAAGTGGTAGTTCACCAGATTCTTAAAGAAAGGTTTTTGCTCAATTTAATACAGATGTCAAACAACTTGGGCATAAAAAAGAAACACATAAGGCAACTCTTAAGAATTCATAATGTGAATTAAATTACTCCCTCCTATCTATAGATTAAAAATTGAACAATCCTGAAAACATGGCTAAAACGATACAGATTACTGAAAACACAAACATAATATTGAATATGCCACAGCTATGATATATTGAGGGATTAAAAAAAATGATAACCCCAATACGGTCTAGAACTGCTGTAGTTCTGAAAACTCCCTGTGAGCAGACAGATGCTCTGATGTCGGGTTTGCTTTCTCTTCCCCCAGGCTCCTCAGTGGTTAGAAAGCGATTCTTGTCAGAAATGTGAGCAGCCCTTCTTCTGGAATATAAAGCAGATGTGGGACACGAAGACACTGGGGTTGAGGCAGGTGAGTAGCTGACGTTAATCATATATTTTCTCATTTGTATGATTAGTCTATCATTTTGTTTGGAATCACACTTTTCCTCCATTTTCGGTGTCATCGTCTCTGTGTGGCTGACAGTGAGCAGGACCTTTCCTTTGGCGACAGTGAGACTGTTACAAACTGTGCCATTGCTTGTCCTGTGTTGGAAAAGCAGAGACACACAGAAAACCCCAAGAGCCTATTTGTAAATACATAAAAGATCCTTGAGTTCAGGACTATTACTTGTTAAACTCAGGGTGTGTAGTAGCCCAGCACAGAATCAGAGTGAACTAGAGCATCTAAGCCTTAGCTTTCACAAGCAGGTAACAAGTAACAGCTTAGCCCTTACTGGAATGCTCTGACACTAGGAATTTTAGAGTATTCATGAATTATTCCATGTAGGTGTACCTGGAGCGTTTCTATTAAGCATGTTTCAAGTACCTACTGTTTTTTGTTTTTTAAAATTAAAGAAACATGTCCCAAGTAGCCTATAGGTTTCAAAGATGCTCTTATCACCAGGTATCCATGCAATACTGCAGTTCTACAAAACACACATTTCTACAGCAGCCTTGAAGGTAGCCACTCACTCAGATCGAATATGAATTTGTGCAGTTACGTTCAAAAGAGTGCTGATTTTATTCCTTTTATTACTGGTTGCACCTCCCTCAGGGATTGGCTGAAAGTTTGTGTGTTAATAAACCTTCTTTGATTTTACTTACAAAGCTAAAGCTACTCTACCGCAAGGGCAGATATGAGTCTGGCAGGCAGTGCAGGAATTATTTTTCCACTCGTAACACTCTAATGCTCAGAAATAGCACCTGAATTCCATCCTCAGCCTCATTCTTTCAGTGCCTGTCTGGTGGCAACTGATGGGTGAAGTAGTCCAAGTTTAGAAGTAGTGCTTCCAAAGAATGAATTTTAATCTTATGAATTAACAACTAATAGAAGAGAAAGGAAAGGTGTGGGTCATGAAGCTTTTAGTGGTTAAAAAATATATATAATATATATAAAATATATATATATTTTGACATATATATATATATATATATATATATATATATATATATATGTCAAAAGCAGTAATAAATGGACTATTTTGGAATGTTCTTGAAGCTTATTTCCAGGATCACAATGTGAAAGATTAAAGGAAATAGCAAAACATGATTGTGGATATTTGTTTCTTAATGAAGGAAAATTACATTTAAAACTTTATTTTGAAGCTCTTCTCTGACATAGGAATAAATTCTTCCTTCCTGAAATCTCTAGCCATTTGGGCTCCTAAATGAGCTTGAATTTGGTTTTCATAATGTTGTTTGTTGCCATCTAGACAGATAGTATGAATGAGTAAAAAGCAGAATTTGCGCAACAACAAAGCAAGGATATTTGGAAATCCTTGACGGGTATTGAAATGATCTGCCTTTTGCGTGTTAATCGATACATTGAGTCGTGGTTGTAATTCAAGGCACGTCTTCCCCTACCCTGAAGGGAAGCCCTGTGCTTGACAGCAGAAGGTAACCGCCTCCTTTTCCTCCCGGGTCACAGCATCACTGCAGGAAGTGCGGGCAGGCTGTGTGTGGGAAGTGCAGCAGCAGGCGCTCCAGCTACCCCGTCATGGGCTTCGAGTTCCAGGTCCGCATGTGCGATTCCTGCTATGACTCCATCAAGGACGAGGAGTGAGTGTTTGCTTGCCTTCCTGCATGTTCACCTGCAGTGCGAGAGCCTGAGAAGGGACACGGGCCGGGGGTTGAGGGCACAGCCCTCCGCACAGTCGGAAGTCCGGGAGTAACTTAGAGGGGGCCCTCCCGTGCGTGGTTCCTCGGCATCTGTGGTTCAGCGGCTGCAGATCGGGTAGTACTGTGCTATTTACCACTGAGAAAGATCCAGTGTTAAGTGGACCCATGAAGTTTGAACCCGTGTTGTTCAAGGGTCAAGTGTATTTATACCCACTTGGTCTTGTCTCAGTTTCCTTCTAAAGAAAGGCTGCTGCCCTAGCTTTATGACTTAAGACAAGTTTCTCCCAAACACTGGGAGGACGGATGCAGCTCAAACCTGTGAGTTGAGTGGCTGTTCTGAGCCCCTGCGCCGCTCAGGGTGCTGTGAGGGTCAAGGCCATGTGCACACTCTTGGTGGCTGAGCTGGCTCTGCAAAGGCATCCCAGCTTTGACCTTCACTCACACATGCTTGGAAATTTTATTAGTGGGAAAATTCTAGAGACAGATGTTCTCTCTTCCACAAAAATCTGACCTAGCCATGTGTCCATAAATAACTATTTGTGTGTGAGACAAACCTGTCTGGTTTCACATTCTATCCCAAGTCACGTAAATCTATTAAAGCAGAACCAGGATTTTCTTTCCCTTCTTTTTGAATCATCTTTGAAAGGAATAGACAGGCACACCTTGGCAGAGGCCCCAGTGGGAAAGCTAGTGGGCACCGCTGGTGTCGGTCAGTGACCTGGGGGTGGAGGCTGGTTGGGGCTGCGGGCTGCAGAGCAGGGCGGGGTGGGCGCAGTGTAGGAGGCCGCTTCTGACCCCGGGGGTCCAGGAGCCCGAGGCCTCCCTGTGAGTGTGTTGCCCACAACGTACGATCTCATGCAGTGAAGTTCTCTTCTGTGTTACAGGTCCTTGTTCTCATTTCTAGGAATATATCAGCTTTTCCACTAAGAAAATAAAAATTAGTTATTTGGGGAGTTTTATAAAATTTTTTATGAAGCAGTCTTGCACCTTATGCTTTCTGTCATCCTTTAATTGTAGTTACTTTCCAACACTGTAGCCACATTTTTTTGGAGTAAGTTTTGACACTGTTACTGTATTTTCTTTACGTTGCATAGAAAACTTATCCCTTAGCTCTAGCAACAATTAAATGAGTCTTAAATGGTCTCTTTTCTCTTTGTTAGTCGGACTTCTCTAGCAACCTTCCATGAAGGAAAACATAACATCTCCCACATGTCCATGGACGTTGCTAGGGGCCTGATGGTGACCTGTGGGACTGATCGCGTGGTGAAGGTAACCTGCTTAATTGTCCCAATTAGCACTTCGGTGTTGTGCTCCGGATGCGTGCAGCCGGCTTGCCTTCCCTTTTTATAAGCAACCTGTAGCCAAGGGGGAAGCGCTGACTGACAAGTCGCACGTTTGTGAGTTTCCATGCTCTTGGAACAGCTCCTTCTGGGAGTGTTTCCCTCTACCCGTCTTACGGGGTGAACTGTGAGCAGATGAGGGCCTGGCACCCCTCTGTTGCAGTCTGCACTCAGCCAGCCCCGGTGTTTCTCCCTCCCCACTGCCTGGGCCTTACTGATCCCTTACTCTGGTCATGCCTTCTGCTACAAACGTTCTTTTTCTCCTGGGCAGAAGGCTTCCTACTTGTAAGAAATAACCATACATGTTTTTCATTAAATCCCTGGGTCACTAATGCAGAAACTGAAAGTCTGTTACACTTAGTACCCCTCTTGGGTTGTGAAACTATGATGTAGTTTATTTCATAATTTTAAAAAATGGGCTTTTTCCCATTAGGCTTTTTATTAAAAATAAATTTAAATTTCTAGGAAAACATGATGACGTAATTTGCAGGTGTCCAGAGAGACTCCTTACAAGCTTTTTTCATGATTTAGCAAACTGCATTGTTTTGTCACTGTATAAATCTTGAGGTTTTGCAGCGAAAAAAGAGGATGAGTTGCTTGGACCCCTTTGCAAGTGTGCCAGCTGTCCGTCCTCAGTGCCAGCGCTTCCCCTAAGAGCATTTCTCCAGGCCTCCCCCTTCTCTTGCAGATCTGGGACATGACGCCCGTGGTGGGCTGCAGCCTGGCGACTGGGTTTTCTCCACACTGAGCCGGGAGCTGGGCGAGGCCGGCACCTTCCCAGCGGCAGCCTTCTCCAGACACCCTGCATCCCTGTAGCTCCACAGTCTCTGTCACGTGAATGGACAGTAGCCACTAAAAAACAAATCAACATTTCTTAAAAAGGAAAAAAAAAACATGTAAAGGTGTGTTTTTGGGCATTTGTGGAACTACCCGCGGGGACTGACGTGGAAGCTGTTCACCTGTCATGGGTCCCCGAGGAGCGGGGTTACTCCAGCGAGGCTCGAGTCCTCAGGAGCGGTGAGCTGATGTGTTCCGAGAGAGTAAGTTAGCAAATGCGAGTTTTCGGAGGAAAAAAGTGCTGAACAAAAGAGTTCATGCCTAGAACTTTCTTCCAGCAGTTCCAAGGACAAACACATGTCCCCTCAGACTTGCTGGCCCCCCGGGGTCACGTGCTCCTCTGCTGTCAGGGCAGGAGTTGGGGGGCGGACTGGTCCTCTCTTTCTTGAGGGGTGCAGCAGGACTTAGGAGCCCAGAGGTCCTCCTCATTGACCGGCCGTCCGTGAATAGTCTCCACGCTTAGCTGTCGGCACACTTCTTCCAGGGGTCTGTCGTCTTCAGGCGGTGCCACCATTTGCACCCAGTGTGGGGCCCTCTTCAGTTCTTTCTCGTCCCAGCCAGCCTGCCGTGGGCGAACGGTTGTCATTAAGTGAGTGGTTCAGTTTCTAGACTAGCCCAGGCAGCCCACCTTCTTCCCCCGACCCAGATGTGCTCTGAGGACGAGACGTCTCTATGGTGCTGTTAACACGGGACTCACACCGCCTGACCTTTTCTCATTGCAGTTAGTGATGACTGAGGGGAAACCCAGCTACCAGCATGACTGTGATGGGAAGTGATCGGTCTGTTCCATGGAACATCCCAGTCCTCCTAAAAGACACATTCTGTTTGCCGTTCCAAGATGAGCCTCTGTGATACGGTGGCAATTTAACGTGCACCTCAGAAAAGAACTCCAAAGCTTTTTACCCTAGGTTGACTTTTAGTTGTGTAACCTAATAATATTTCATAGGAGGAAACTGGTCACCCAGAGCAGTCATTGTTAAACAGGTCCGGCACAGTAATTCCTAACTTGTAAATTACTTTCCTAACAATTAGCAAAATCTGTTGTATCACGTGGCATTTTAAAAGTTTTTGGCCACTTAGTACCAGGATGGGGAAGACTTAGGGATTGGGGAGCCTGTCTTCTGATACTCATGTATTTATTTCTTTGTTTGTTTTTAACAACAACAGTACCTGTATTTGTTACTTTAGGGTTATGGACGTGGGTGGAGAGAGGCTTCCTTCTTTTAAGGACAAATTTAAAAATAGCAATGGTATTTTTGTTAGTGTTCTAATAGGTGTTGATAAAAACCTACTACTGCATCATTTTTAGGGGAATCAAATCAAGACAGCGTGGTCATTCTGTATGATACAATGACAAGACTAAATATTTTTAGTAGCAGCTGTTAATTAAAATGTTTTTAAGTAATAGTTTAAGACAGACAAACTAAGATGTCTTAATCGCCAGGCACAAACGAGGAAAGGAGGTCAGGCACTTCGTGTTCTAGAATGACCTGCAGTCAAAAAGTTGACTTGCCTTCAGAAAGAAGACTGAAGGATTTTGTTGCCCCTTATAATTTTTGTGTTACATCACTTGAAAAAGATGTTCCCTTCAAAACCTCTTCATAGGCCCTTTGCAAAATGTGTGCTATTGACATAGTGCAGAGGAAGAATTGGAGTGATGGTAACTTGAACGGCAGTGTTGAACCAAGTTAGCTTCAGTTGAGTTGGTAGTTCAGCTCATACAAAGGTGCTATCCTGGGGGTTTTATGAAGTCCTGAAAGGAAAACGGAGGATGACCTGTTCCCTGCCACGCGGAAAGGTGCTGAACGGGGGCTTTGCTTTCTGTTCACCTCTGTAAAGTGTGGTTTTGTGTTTGTGGTAGACTGAGCAGAATATTGCTGAGAATATGCCATAGCTTTCACACTTCTTTTATTTAAAAAAATTCTTACTGAAAACCCCACTATTTCCTAGAGAATATAAGGCCATTACAGCACATCCTAAGGGTTGGCGCTAACGTAAGTCAAGGAGGAGAGGTTTACTTGGGGAAGAACTGGAGTCGGGGATCCAGAAAAGGAAAGGAGAATGTTTCCATGTATTTTCTCTCCACCACAGCTTATTACCAGTTTTTTTAAAACACACATGACATGGCAGGCTTATCTCATCTCTGTCACACACTAGGTAGCAAACGGGGTAAATATTTTTTATAGAGGTAGGCAAAGATTTATTTTCTCAACTTTACACATAGAGGTGGGCACCTAGAGTGAGCTAGACTTCTAGTTATTGCCTTATTTTGACTGCATTACTCTTAAACGGGTCACTTAAAATAGTCCTTCAAAGTTAACGGTTTACCGACTTCTCCATTCCTGAATATTCATGCTAATCTGCCACGAGGGATCAAGTACAGAATGTTAGAGAAGATCATAGTATGTGTGTGACCGGGACACGCCACCTTGTTCTAAACATGTTTTAAAATCGCTCTTTGCGCGAGTAAGCGATAGGCGTGTACTCATAGCATTAGATGGAGACAGATTTTTCATTGTAAATCTCTGTATACTGCGTCCTGTTTCTGTCCTGCTGCCTAGAGGATATAAACCAAAAATACTGCTCTAGATGGTGGTGTCTCTTTGTTCTCCCCCTAAATAATTCAGTTTGCTAATACCTACATTTTTAAACTGTTGAAACTGGCCTAAGTATGGAATACACACCACATGGCTCGGACACAAGGAGCTGTTTTCTAAAATCAGTTGTCATTAAATTACTCCCTACTTCCGTTACTGGCTCTGGTGTCTCCTAAAATGTAAGAAGCCAGTTACTATTAACGGTAAACTGTCTGCTCATTGTAAATGTGATGTTTAACAAATAAGTAATACATGCTATATTTATTCAAGTGTCTATTGCTTAATTGTTAATTGTGAGCAGATTATTGAATGCCTACTCTATTTTCTGCAGTTTCCTATACAATAATTCTTTGAGTAAGTTGAAGTTTAATTGTGCAACAAATTTATATTAGGATACAACTTAAAGTGTTTTTCTGTATAGACTTTTCTGACTGGGGACGCAAAGGGCAGTGTGGATTAGTACGTTTTGTCTTGTACTAGCCACGTTTCTATAAAATGATGCCCTGCGCATCCCAGAGAGCTAGAAAACTATTCTTCGCTCCCCTTTGTGGGTTCTGTTTTTTGTGTGTTTTTTTGAGAAAATGCATACAATAAAATGTTCCTTGCTTATTCCTCTGTTGCTTAATTTAGCTTGTGTTCTATTTGATCTGGACGTAAGGCAGCAGTAATAGTAATAGACCATGCATTTAGCGCTGTCTGTGTGCAGAGCACCCTACCAATATTATATTAATCAATCCTGGGAGGCGTTGTTCTCCCCATTTTACAAATGAGAAAACCAAGTAGATCCTGTCCATCTGTCTGTCTGATTTGAAAGCACGTGCCTGACCTCCTGCCTTGACGTGCTAGTGTAATGAGGGTTTTATGTAAGGGAAGTAGGTATTACCTGTTTTGAAGTTTGTGAAGCCGTGAAGGCAGATGGCTCGGATAGTCAGGCTCTTTGAGTTCACGGAGCTGGGTGGGGACACTCTTGTCCGAGCCCTGGCTCTCCACCCCAACAGCTCAGTTTTATGAAGAAACACAGGGTGGTTCAGACCCAGGAGAACTGATTCTTTGGCTTAACTGATACAATGTTGACTTAGAAATCAGAATGGCAGCTTACTGAGTTTGTTGTTTTAAAGAGCTATAGCTTTATTTTTTTTTCCATCATCAAAATAATAACGTTTATTATAATAAACGGAAGAGGAAAATAAAAAGATAATACCAAAAAATATTTAAAAGAGTTTTTTAAAAAACCTCTTTGTCCAACCACTCAGAGAAAACACTGTTAAACTTGGGCTGTATATCTTTTCAGTGTTTTATTTTAAATGTATAGGCACGTATATAACACATACTTGTAGACATTTTTAATGGGGCCCTGCTTTTTCTCCCCCACCTGACATAGCACGGTTAGTTTGCCCATGTCAAAAAATTGTGCACCCTGTTAGCGTCTTCAGCTGCTGCAGATTTGCAGCGGACACTGGCTCTGTGCTGTCTGAACATGCGCTGGGACTGCCGGTCCAACCCTGTGAGGTGAGGTGAGGTCATGTGATGTGCTTTAGCCAATCAGGTACAGGCAGAAGCAGTTAATTACAGGTGAGAGGCTGAACAGTTTCTTCCAGAGCAGTCACAGAAGTACAGGTGGACTGAGGAGTGTGACGCCAAGGGTCCCACGGAACCCTACCTGCCCTGGACCTGCAGTGGGTTTTGTATGAAGGAAAAATAAATCTTTATTCTTTTAGTCCACTGAGATAGGGCGTGTGTGTGTGTGTGTGTGTGTGTTAACGGCAGCATAATTGAGCCTGGACAGCAGTATTTCTACTGTTCCATTATGTGAGTAAACTGTCGTTTATTTCATCAATCCTGTGTTGAAATTAGATTATACATTTTTAGAATATTTACATTTTTAATTAAAACACTATTTTAAAACACTAAACTTAGCATGCTTGTATATTCATCTTTGCCCACTTTGCCAATTATTTTCTTAGGATAAGTTCGTGAAAGTTGGAATTGCTAGGTCTAAGAATATACATATTATAAGTTTGTATTCTCACTGCTGATATCCTTACACCACTTGAGTTTGTTCCTTTGATTAGACAGTAAACAGGCATAGCTTAGTGTCTTGATTTACGGAATTCCAGTTTAATAATGTATGGGTTTCTTTGGGACAGTCTAGTTAGAACCCAAGTCGCCCTGGAAGACCGTTAGTGGACACGGAGGGATGCGGACGAAGAAAGGTTGGCTGGTGACCCTGCTGTTGTCACCATAGCCTGTTGTGCTCACTGCCAGGGGCGCTGGACAGTAGGTGGTCTCTTTTCACTTGGAAAGAGGAGACTCTAGCAAGTTCTTGTTTCTGGCCTTCCCTTTTTAGATTTCACCTAGTTTACTTGCAAAAGCAGTCTTGGGAAGGTAATACGAGTAGTTGAATTAGAGCTTCCTTTCCCGTCCATCACTTTTTGGTCCCTAAGTTTCCTTCACTGTTGTTAGATCTTGTTCTAAATCTTTTCACTACACATACAAACCATCCCTTAGGAAGCTTATTACACATTGATACATATGGTTTCCCATGAAAGTTGGTAACACATTGTGAGGCCACCATCTTGACTTCAGTCTTATCATTTGTGGTAGAGAAACGGAGCCTGAGCGATAACTTCCCGGGTCAAACCCAGGTGGAAAACTGAAGATTCACTCTGGTTTGTCCGACCTCAAAGCCCATGTGCCTTTTCCTAGTACCCCATCTGGCTCTTTCATATTTGAAGAAATTATAGATCCTGATCTTGACATTCTGGAGAAAGCATAAAGTAATAGAAATCTCTTTACACTATTAACAAGGGTAGTATGACGTATTTTCTCACACCCTAGGTAGAGTTTAAGATCAAGAGGGGCATCAAACGCTATTCTCCACCACCCCTGCCCTCCACACCCCTGAATCACGAATCAGTGGTGGCACTGATAGGTGGCCTCTGTGATGACATTTTAACGCCAGGTTTACTACAAACCAGTCAGTTTCCATGTGCTTTAAAGAGCAGTGATCCTGAATGTATGTTTTATGATCTTTATGCTACTCGACTATTTTAAGACATTTCAAAACTTAAAAAATTCCTTCTAGAAAGTAAATTTTATTTTTATCTGAAATAGATTATGGTGTCCCAAAATCAAGCTAATGAAATTGAAAAACCTTGGGAATCACTCTTTAGAAGTCTGGCTGTTAAACCCGTGACACTTGTCAGGGCCTTTTTACTTGAATCTGCTCTCATAATGGGGATAATCACCCATTGCTGTAACATTTCAGAACAGCCGGTAGCTCTAGACTCTACCATGGAAATCAGACCCAACGAATAAAGTCACAGAATAGTTGCATGGTTTTATTATTTCACAATTCAAGGTATCATTCCCTTAGTAAGTAAACATGATATTCTTTTGGCAAGATAATGGTAACCAGATAGATATTTCAGTAGCTCTAGGTTGTTCCAGTTAATGCTGCGATACCAGGATTCGAGTGACTGCACAATTTGTTGAGTTCAAGTTACCTTAAGTCACAGAAAGGAGAATTACTTTCAAACAATTGCAAGTTTATTGAAGGGATGCTCTGGTTGTTGCCTCTGAGCCCTGGAAGGCAGGGACCAGCCTTCGTGTCTGGATCCGCGGTGCCCCTCACACAGTGTGACTCCTCTCCTCCGCTGCAGGTGCCACTTTAGGCTGAATACGTTGTGGGTTTTCTGTGTTCTTCCTTAAGGTGTCACCTGGAGTTAGAGGAACTAACTGGAGAGCAACTTCTGTAAGTAGGAACATCTGGTTGAACCCAGTGTGCTACTGAAAAGAGGAAGAAGGAGGGAGGAAAAAGTATACAGTTAAACAGAAGTTTGTTTATTTCTGGATTTGTGTAGAAATAATTCTTTTCTTAAAATTTTTAAAAATTTTATTTTATTTTTTATTACTTTTTTTATTCCCTTTTCTTAAATTGAAGTATAGTCATTTTACAATGTTGTGTTATTAATTTCTGGTGTACAGCATAATGTTTCAGTCATACATACACATACACATATTCTGTTTCATATTCTTTTTCATTATAGGTTGCTACACGATACTGAATATAGTTCCCTGTGCTATACGGTAGAAAGTTGTTGTTTATGTACTTTATATATAATAGTTAGTATCTGCAAATCACGAACTCCCAATTTATCCCTTCCCACCCCTTTCCCCACAGGTAACCATATGTCTGTGTCTGTTTCTGTTTTGTAAATAAGTTCGTTTGTGTCTTTTTTTTTTTTTTTGGTTCCACATAGAAGTGATATCATATGGTAAAAAAAATAATTCATTACTCAAGTGACTTGGGACTTTATTTCTACTTTATTAACATAATTTTATATTTCTTGTATTTTACTGACATAGATGACATCTCATGTCTTTTGCCTCAGGGGTCCTATCAGCGGTAATCTGAATCCCAATTGCAAACGTATGCTGAAAATACAGGCAAGCTTGCGGGCACAAACCTCGGTACAAGCCTGCTGGCTCTGCCCTCAGAACATATCCCCATATGACCACTTTTCCCCATTCAGCGCTGTTACCACGGTCCAGCCCCCTGTCATCTGGATTATTCCTGTAGCCTCCTAACCAGTCTCCCTGCTGCTGCCCCGACAGCCTGTTCGCAACACACCTGTTAAAACACGACTCAGATCATGCCACTCACAGAAGCCCAAGTCCTAAAATGTCTCGTCATTAGCTCCCTGACATCTGTGTCCTCCTAGCTCACGTGGTGCAGCCACAATTCTTGGTTTCTTCTAATTTCTATGGGGAAGGAGAGTTTGTGCACACACAGCACGGAGCTCAGTGTCAGGCGTGTAGTAGGCAGTTAATAAATAATGTTGCTTGAGTGTGTACAGCTTGGGCGCTATGTGCGTAAATGAAAAGGAACTTAGGTGAATTTTCTTTGGGAGTGAGTCCGTAGTGTGAAGCGACTGTTCCTCCACCGCCATCACTCCTACCCACCCTGTTCCACCTTTCGAGCTGCTGTTAACAGTTTCCAGAGGCTGAAAGGAGTGGTTGGAGGGACGTGTAGGGAGGGTACCGAGGGTAAGTCCATGAGGGGCATGATGAGACGCTTCTTTCTAAAACATGAAACACCAGCCCTGGGTGTCTGATCATCATGAGACCTAATCAGAAGACAGCTCCGCTCTGCAGCTTCGTGGCTGTCGGGTGTGGTGGTTTTACAGTATTTCTCCGGATTCTTAGACTCTCCTATTGCGTGCTTGCATTTATGTTCTCTCCCCTTGCATCTGGGCCAAACTTAGTGACTCACTGATCGAATACGGCAGAAGTGACACCGTGCAGTATCTGAGTCTAGATCAGAAGATGCCGTGCAGCTGCCACCTCGTTCTCCGCGGGAAGCCAGCCGCCTGAGACCGCCAGGTGTTCTGGTCAGCAGCCGAGCCGAGCTTCCAGCTGACAGGCAGCGCTGCCAGCCTTGGGAGTGCGCCGTCTTGGACGTCCAGCCCAGATGAGCTCTGAGAAGGCTGCAGGTCCAGCTGACAACTGCAGTAGCAGGAGAGGTGCCAAGTGAGGTCTGCCGAAGTCAGCCCTTCCCAAATTCCAACCAAATAAAATGCTTGTTTTAAGCTGTAAGTTGTGGAGTGATTTGTTACCCAGCAG